GCTCCCTGCTCAGCGGAGAGTCTGCTTCTCCCTCTGACCCTCCTCCCTCTCATGCTCTGTGTCTCTCATTCTCTCTGTCTCAAATAAATAAATAAAATCTTTGAAAAAAAAAAAAAAAGAGGGTTGTTAAAAGCTCCATAGCTGGGGCACCTGGGTGGCTCAGTTGGTAGAGCACGCAACTCTTGATCTCAGGGTTGGGCATGGACCTACTTTAAAAAAATAATAAAAAACCAAAAGCTCCATAGCTGATTTCACTATAGTATTGGTTTTATGGCTGCCTTTGTCTTTCTAACCTTATGAAGATTGGTTCCTCCTACCTGTCTCTTTCTTGTGTAAGTGCCAAAGATTCTATTCATTCCACTGATTGTGTGTAAAAAGCAGGGATGTGGGAAACTAACTTGTCATCCTTCTAAAGTCATCTTATACATAACGAGCTGTGCTAAAGACCCCAGCAATTTTGAGAGTTTATATAAATAAGATGTAGTCTCTACACAGTATATTCCTGACATAGTGGAGAGAATGCGTATCCTTAATGTCTTATTTGCTCAACAGTGTTAAGACTGGAAATACTGGATGGGCCCAGGTTGGGGCTGGGGCAAGAACATGCTTGCTGACCAGAAGATTTTAAGCCTCCAGGATTGCTACAGCCTCATGGTTCAGGAAAGTTCCTGCCTGTGTGGCCCTAAGTGGTGCTTGCATTGGGAGAAACAGTATAAAAGGCAGTTACGTACTTCCTGGTCTCATTTGAGGCTGTTCTTTGAGGGACACAAGGATTTTCCCCATGACGCCTGTTCTTTCTCCAGGTTGAGTTGGAGAGGTGACTCTAGCTATGTACTGCACTAATTGAAAATTTCTGTTCAGTTTCAGCCTTTTATGCTGAGTGTTTTAACAAGAAGATACAATTCAATGCTCATATCTGGACCAAGTCAAAATTCCTTGGCATGTCGATTGGGGTGCACAACATAGGGCAGGGTAAGTCTCTGGGCATGGGGTAGACTAGAGTGTTAATAGAATTTTATTCTAATATGTGCTGGACCCTTGTCTAGTGAGGGGAAATGGCACCAAGAAAGCCAGACTGGATGTCATTGTTTGCATATAAGCATGTGTATTGGGGATGAGAACAGAGGTGGGAGGGTGCAAGATTGATTTTCCTTAAATTGAATGGAGTATCCTGGAGTATCCATCAATCAGACGATAAAGTCTTCTGGCCAGTTGACACTGCTCATCAGAGATTCTATCCCTTCTCTCTACAGGCTGCGTCTCGTGTCTAGATTATGATGAACATTATATTCTCACATTCCCCAATGGTTATGGAAGGCAAGTAGAGCTGTGTCCATTTCCTCTGATCAGCTGGCAGCAGAGCCTGCTGTTCCTTAAGCTACACCCCTCCTTTCTGTCCTCTGAACTGTCAGCCTTACCTGCACTTTTTTTTTTTTTTTTTTTGCAGGTCTATCCTCACAGTGCCCTGGGTGGAACTAGGCGGAGAATGCAACATCAATTGTTCCAAAACTGGCTATAGTGCAAATATCGTCTTCCACACTAAACCTTTCTATGGGGGCAAGAAGCACAGAATTACTGCTGAGATTTTGTAGGTATTTTGTTTTTCTGCTTCAGTTCTCTTTTGCTTCTCTGAAATACTTTTGTCTTGAACTGTAACTTTTATTAGGAATTGACTGTTTTAATGGTTTTTTTTTGTAAACTTGTTTCACATCCTGTATGTTCTGTTTCTTCCTAAAATCCCATATCAGAAGGAGACCTAAAATCTGGGTTCAGAACAGAAGTCAGTCATTGATTGATGGGATTTCCTTCCTAGGAGCCTGAGAGGAGTCTTCCCAGATCGCCCAGCTAATGCAGATCATGGATTCCTGACTCAATTGAAGCCTGGGCTAGTCTGTACAGTAGACACTATGATGATTCCCACTGTAATGTCTCCCAAATCCTCAGTCCTTTTTTCTGTGCCTTTGCTAGGGAAAAACAGTAACCATCACATCTTGGCTTGGTTTCGTCTAGAGTCAGATGAAGACAACTGTGCTTTCTCAGTAACAGTCAGTTGGGTGGATTCAGAATCCGCCTGGAAGAGGAAAATCTGCAGGACTTTTGTCTTTCCTGAGAGGCCTTGTTGGGAACAGTGTTACAGATGGAAGATACATGACTGATTAACCAGTTTTCCAGGGAAATAATTGGGATGACATAATTAGCATCCAAAAAAATCTTGAGCGGGAAGGACCATGAACACATGATGAAGTTTACTAAAGATCAGTGTAAAATCTAAAAAATTACTGCAGGGGCGCCTGGGTGGCTCAGTTGGTTAAGCGACTGCCTTCGGCTCAGGTCATGATCCTGGAGTCCCTGGATCGAGTCCAGCATCGGGCTCCCTGCTC